ATTTTTTCCTTTTTATCCTCAGTTTAATTTTTCTTTTTGATTTAGATATATTTGGTCTTTTTTCTTTTATTTTTATTTTTTCACTTTTAATCTTTTTTATCACTGTTAAAAATTAAAAAAAATAAGATAAAAAAGAAATAAAAAATAAAAAATTGTAAATTTTTAACATAGTTTATCTTATTTTTCTTCTATTTCTCTTTTGTCTTTATTTTATTTTTTTATTTACACTATTTTTTTTTCTTTTATTCTTTTCTACTATATTATAAGTTTTCAGCATATTTGTCTTATTTTTTCTTCATTTTTTTGTCCTTTGTCTATTTGCTTCTTTTTTATTTAACCATATTTGATCTTTTTTTTTCCTTTTTTTTTTATTTTTTTTAGTTTTATCCTTTTTATAAATGTGATAAGTTTTCAACATATTTTTTCTTATTTCTTCTTTTACTTTTATTTTTTGTCCTCAGTTTATTTTTATTTTCTAAGAAAGAAAAAATAGGCAGATTAATTTAGTTTCTAATGGTGTTAAGAATGAGTTTGGATTTTACCAAAAAAAAAAAGAATGAGTTTGGATGAAAAAATTATAGGGGATAAGTTATTAAAAAATTATATAAGGGTGCAAGCGATTCAAAGCAAAATTATAAGAGAATTTTTAAATTTTTTCCTATAATTTATAACAGGAAAAAATATTTCTTCTACCACATAAGAAAAAATTATCTCTAAAAACTATATATTTTGGGGATTGAAAGAATTAATGAAGAATATTTAGGAATTTTTTTATTATATGAATTTTACAAAACCAACATTCATTAATTCTTCCAACACACATAAATTATAATATTTTACACAAAATGACGTAACTTTTTCCTATAAACCAGCTATTATGTGAAACTGGGCCGGGCCGGCCTACAGAGCCTACGGCTCGGCCTACATGTCAAACCTGACTTAGTATATTTTGCATAGTAGGCCGGCTTGGACTTTAAAAAAGCCTATTTAATAAAAAGGCCGTAGGCCGACTTTCAAAAGACCGGGTCTATAAGTCTACAAGCCGGCCTATATTGTACTATTTATTTTAAATAAAATAGAGTAAATATGCCTTGAAGAAAAAACAAAAGATATAAATTTAATCAATTGCAATTATTTATAACTTAATTATATTCGATTATATTTTAATAGAAATCTTACTTTATTTCTTATATAGGAGGAACCAACATCTCAACATGTTAGATTGTGTATATGAATATATTAAAAGATTTTTGGATGAGGTTGTACTTACTACAAGAATCATGATGTGTTTGTTGGATTCATGTAGTTATTTTAATTTACATAGTATGAATTTGTTTGTTAGATCTGATGAAATATATGTTATTTAGTTTGAGCATTTTGCTTTTGAAAATGACTTAAATGCATATTGTATGAGTTTTGTTATGATTCATGATTCTGTTTGGACGTTGAAATTATGATTTTTGGTATAGCAACATAATTTGAGTACTTTGTAAAGTTGATTTATGGTTCTGCTTGGAAGTTAAAAATTAACAGGTTAACGGGCCAAGCCAGGCCATTTGTTTATTTATAAACGGGCCAAACCAGGCTAATAGTTAGACTCATACTAGGCTTGGGCTAGGCCAAATTAAAATTTTTTGACGTAGGCTTGGGCTTTTCGGGGCAAAGCTTGGCCCAGCCCAGCCCACTTTCACCGTACCCCTAGTTGGAGATAACTTTATCTCAACAATAAACTTCACAACACCGACACGCAAAAAATTTGAAAATATGTTGTCTGACACGCTCCGACACGCGGTCAACATTTTAGAACTCGCAGACAACATTCTGACACGTTTTTTTCGATACGCAATCAACTTTTTTCGACACGCGGTCAATCCTCCGACATGCTTTCGACACGTTTTTTTTAATTCTAAATTTTATTTTATTAATTAAACATAGAAAAATATTTTATAAATCGATTTTTTTGTTTTAAAATTTGACATGAAAAATTATTTTTGTTTATATTTATATTATGAAATTTGAATATTTTATTGGTTATATGACTTATTATGGGCTGTTATATATATTAAATATAAATTATATTATATATATATTAAAAATATTATTTAATATCAAATAACGTGTGAAAATATGATATTTTTTTAAAATTAACGTGTCGGCGTGTTGTGTCCCGTGTTAGTGTCGGTGCATCATAGACAATAAATCCTTTATAATATTATAATTTATAAACTCTTATATAACTATATATTCTTATTAATAGCTGTATGGACTGTGTTTGAATCTTCACGTGTTGAGTTGGATCTCCTTCTCCTTGCTATTTAATGCAATAGATGTAGTTTTCCTGAGGCATTTATAGTGATGGGGTAGGGCTTTTTTCTGTTTGTGTATTTTGATTGTTTTTTTTTTTTTTTTTTTTTTTTTTTTGTATTCACTGTAACAACAATAAAATAAAAATCATATGAATCTAGATTTTGGATGAAAAAAATGTTGTTTTAATAGTAAAGATTGGAAACACTTTACTTATTACACTTAAATTTGATTTCACTGCCAGCAATGATCTTTTTTGACATGTATAGCCTTGACTTGGAATGAAATAACTTTCCATAACTTTTTGTAAACCAAAATTAATAGTAACTCACTTAAAATATTATTTTATATATAGTTTATGTGAAAGGTTATATTTACGAATTTTATATTTATAAACTTAACTATCCCTGCTAGAAAAGTAAATTTTTTTGACAGAAAACGTATTACCCACCAAGAAATATTTGACGGCTTTATTTCAGTCAAAAATTTTATTTTTGACGAAATTTTAATTCAAAAAAATAGCATTTTTTTAGTAGTGTATTTTAGGAAATAGATTCGGCTATAAATGTATTCATGAAAATATATAATGTAATTTGTAAATATAACCTACTCATAATTTATTAATGAATTGTGTTTTTGCCAATAAATGGACTTCTAATTCACAGGAAACAATAAATATTCTCAAATCTGTTGACCCCTAGTGCTCTACCCCCTTTGTTCTATTTTCCTTTATATTATAATATATATTTTTGAATCTCTTAATAAATTACATATGCTTTAGAAGGTAACTGTAGCAGCTTTTTGTACCTATATGATGATAGATAGACATATACAGTGCATGTAAGCAACTTACCACATTTTTTCTGATGAAATGGAAAAGCCTCCAAGTAATTAAGCCTTATCAAATAAAAAAATAAGAAAAGAAGAAAAACTTGGAATAGAAAAGAAAGCTACTAAAGAAAAATAGAAGAAATATCACCTGTGGAAAGAAAATAAGCTATCAAGAAAAAAAAAAATAAAGAAAGAGAAGAAGCTAAGTAAGTTACACAAGTGAGAAAGGCCCACAAAGGAAAACTTACGTAACATAGAGGTGAGAAATTTTTGGAATCTTCTGCATTTGGGTGATTATAGTTGACTGAACTTTTGTTTTCTTTACAACAAGCACCCCTGCCACTTGAATTTGATCTGTAACATAATTTTTAAGTTTTTCTTTTAGTTGTGGATTTCATTTCAATGTTTTCTTGGAGCTGATTTTCTACTAGCTAAAATTTCTAATAGCTAGTAGGAGAAGAGAAATTTGACGGATATGGTGAAAAAGAGGGTACATGCCACCATTGCAGAATTGATGGTAAGTCCTCTACCTGTGGTTAGAATTTTTGTTTGATTTTTTTCCTTCGTCAACCCCTTGAGTTTCTTCGCCTTTCTAATTGAATTGGCTCAATATTAGTTATTTGATTTAATATATTTTTATGTTTGGATAATTATATGACAAACTATAATATAATTAAGGCATCTTGAATTCTAGTTCCATAAAAAAAATGGAGTGACATCCATGACAAAAGAATATGACTTCCAAAAATTCAAAAATTGAAGATACCCACTAATCAAAAAAAGAAATAGAGAGATAAATTAACCACTCTATCAATATTTAATTTGTTTCTCTTATATGTTTGATCAATTTTTGTTTTGGTTGTATGAAGAAGCTAGATTATTGAACAACATACATGAAAATGCGAAGAAAAATAATTTGATGTACGAAACTGGTTTTGTTAATTATTTATTAAAATACATAAAAAAATAAGTTCAAATTTAAATATAATTTTAAATTATTTATCAATTGAACAACATATATGAAAATTCAAGAGAATGAATTAAATTTGGTTTAATATATAATAATAAAAATTTGAATATATATTTAGTTTGAGTTAGATTGGAACACTTTTTGAATTTAGATAAGAAGACAATTATTTTAATTTATTTATTTGGTTTTTCCTCTTCTTTATGTGGAAATTTTTAATTTTTAATTTTTCAGTTTAATTTTTTTACTTTGATTGGAATGATTCATTTTGAAACACCTAATATTTATATTGTGCACAAATATTGTGTTTTCAATAGGGCTGATAATTTATTACATGATCCACTCACACTGATATGAACACAACACTAGATTTTCATGTCTGGGTTAAATCGTATTGAAATTGATGTTGTGTTTGTGTTAAGAAAAAAAATAATACAGAAAAATTCATATTGTATTGTATGTCAGCCCACAATATTACACTCACCCACATTTTCGTAATTAATTATAGTTGTTACCAAAAAATTATTTGTATCATATCAACGTGCATTGAAAAGCAACATATCAAACAAGCACTTACCCCCTAACTTTCAAGCGTCATTACATTTGCCTTCATTAGTGAGTACTACAAATACACCCTAAGAATTTCCTAAGCTCCAAATAACTATAACCAATACATTTCATAGATCTCTGATCAAGAACTATGCTTTCATAGATTTACGGTTACGAAATTGAGGAATTTTTGGTTTCCAAAACTTTCTGGACTACAACTATGTGAATACTGTTTTTTTAAAATACATGTCTATTAATAAATAGATATATTTATCAGAAAAAAGTTATATTTACAAACTTTTATTTACAAATTATATTATGTTTGACCGTTCATACTTTAATAGAATGTATGACCGGTCAGATTTGGCGCAATGAAGCAAAAGACAAACCAGTTTTGTGCAATGCAAGTGGATCAAGATATAAGAAATGGGGCAGCCTTGAGAACTATCGCCCCAAGTGTTTTAAATCAAAGTGCCACAATAACCTTACAAATTTTAAGGGTAGAAGCAATCTCGATATTAAGGACAAACCTTTAAGCTATGTTCCAGATTCAGGTAATGGTACTACTACTAATAGTAAGTTAACTTTTTCATCAAAAAATAAAAATTGTGCTGTGTGCTTCTTATATTTCTAACAGTTAGTAGCTTTTCTTAGGTAAGAAAAATCCAAGTTTATGGAACTTTAAAATCCCTACTAAGAAACGTTCACGGGTGGTGTACAAGCAGATGACACAAATGGAAATGTTTCAAAAACAACTTCTCAATTTGTGGAGATATCACTGGAAACAAAATGAGTCATCCCCAGAAGATGATTTATCGTTCCATAACGTGAATAACTTCATACCTAGCAATGAAATAGGCCATGGATGCATTCGTCTTGAACCAGATGGTACTTCTACATAGAAGGGTTCATTACCCTTCATCAATATATTACAAACTGCCTTGTGATATATATTGGACTTTCTGAATTCAAGCCTTCGTGTGAGTCTTGTAGGAGCTGCTAATTATGTCTGTAGTGTTTTGTGTTTTATGAGATTATTATAATTAGTCATGTATGAATCATCGAGTTACTGATATGAAGTGGGTAGTGATTTCATTTGAAATAATAATTGTTTTTTTATCTAGTTTGAACCCAAGGCTGGAAGTAATTTGAGTCATTCAGAAAATCTTGAGTGTGATGAAGTTATTATTTAATGATTTAGAGAAAAAATATATATTAAAATGGATGTGAACTAAATTCATATGAGGTTAATGTTTGGGATTTGGGAGAGTAGGAATTAGGAGAAAATAAAAGGCCCGGGAAGGAATTGAATTGGAATCGCATTTTGAGAAATTGATTTGGTTTATTAATATATATTTTTGTTTGGTAAGTTATAAAATGAAAATTTATTTGACGTTTTATTTTAGTTGACTATTACAAATACAGAAATGTACTCATAGTCATAGCATTTTTCATTTAAAAAAAAAAAAAAACAGGTCCGCAACCAAACATAATAAAATTCTAAATAGAAACAGATCTAATAGTTGCATAACACGCATTTTTTTTACTATCTATGTATTACATTTAAGTACTAGAATTTAATTCTATTCTTGTGTTTTTTATTATTTATATGTATATTTTGATTAATTTTAAAACAGAATATCATTAAAAACTTTGACACTAATTCAATTTGTAATAAATATTATACTATGAAAAAATATCATGCTTACTCTTGATAAAATTAAATTACAATACATTTAATTTTTGAAATAAAAAATATTTAAATATTTTTTTTTTTAATACAATTCCCTCAAAGCTTATTTCTAGATCCATCTACCATATGAAAAAGTCTTTACATACACTTATATATCAAAATCTAGTCAAGTCTAATCTCATCCCTAGACCCTAAGGCATGATTAAATTATTCAATTCATTATTTTAATGTAAGAAAAGAGTTTGACGGATAAGTTTTTTTTTTTTTTTTGGTAAACTTTTGATGGATAAGTTAATACAATACAATGTTCACAATAAATAACAAATAAAGTCATAACTATTGTATTAATTTATTCCATCATGCCTTATATAACATATCAAATGGACCCTAAACTTGAATTTGTGGTTCTTTCCTTTAAGGAAAGAATTGTTTCTCCTGGATTTCAGTTACTGATCTTGATGCTATGGTTCTTGGTAATACAATTAATTGGGTCTTGGTAATACAAAATATATAAGGAAATGGGGCTTAGCCCCTCTTTATTTATATATATATATATATATATATATATATATATATATATATATATATATATATATATATATATATATATATAAATAAGGAAATAGGGAAACTGATCGTAACCAGCCATAATGGGCTGGGTTTTGCGCTTGTCATTTCTCGTGACACTTGGTTCACATTCATGAATTCACATTAGTACTTGTTATTTGGAGCTCTAATGTTTTGTGAAAGAGATGAAATACGAACCTCTGATGTTAAAATTTGATATGATCTTGTTTTGTCTTAAATCATAGCCATCTATTTACAAATATGTGTTGGAAGAAAAACTATAAATTTTTACCCAAAAATTAAAAACAATAATTTTAGTGGCATCAAAAATTTGGTTTTTTGTGGGTGTGTGACTGTTTGGTATATGGAAATTGAACCTAAGCATTACAAAGAGAAACCATTTCAATCCATATGAACTGAATTAACCCCGTTGACTAATTATTAATTATTTATTTCTTTTTGTAATAGAAAGTATGTATAATTATTATTATATCATAAAAACAACTTCTTCTTCTTTTTTGGTAATCTAGAAACAACTTATTTTACTCATATATATTACTGCAGTTCTGGGAAGACCATAAGTATTCAATGAGTAACGGCTAAAGGAAAACAATTAATTAGATACCAAATGTAGAGCCGAACTAGTCATTGTTATTAATAATTTTTATTGTCTTGGTTGACCGTAGAATTGAATATGAAGAGCAATCTCTCAATTGGTACAACATTTTTATTGGTGATAAAAAAAATTAGTGTGAGTTTAAGCCACAAAGATTGGTCTAGTGATGAGAAATTTTAGTAGGTTATATTAGGTTATGTGTTCAATTCCCACTTGTATAAAAAAATATAAAATTAGTGAGTTTATATGGTTTGACAACTTATAGGAGATTTACACATCACTCTCTTTATCCTCTGCTCCACCTTCGTTCTTCTCTCCTTTATATTATAATTTTTTTTAATCTCCTAATAAATTTTATTAAGTTCTAGAAGGTAACGGCAGAAACTTTTTGTACCTACATTAAGAATTTATATAACTTAAATGGGCATGGATCAAATGCACACAAGCAAAACTTGAAGAGAGAAAAGAACTCAACAAATTGCAAAAGTGAGAAAGGCTCACAAGGAAAACAAGCAGAACAGAAAGGCAATAAAATTTTGGAATTTTCTGCATTTATGTAATTATTTGACTGACCTTTTAATTTTTTTTTATCCCACTATCCCTGCAAGTTGTGATTTTCATTTCAAGGTTTTCTTGAAGCTGGTTTTCTAATAATTAAAATTTATAACAGCAACTCGGAGAAAAGGAATTTGACGGAAATGACGAGAACCGGTCCGTGCTGGCATTGCGGAATTAATGGTAAGTCCCTTTCTTGTGGTTGGAACTTTTGTTTGATTTTTTTTTCTTCGTCGTGCCCTTGTGTTTCTTCCCCTTTCTAAGTGAATTGAATCAATATTAATTGTTTGATTTAATGAATTTTTAAGTTTGGATAATTATATGACATAAATTTTAATTAAGACATCTTAAATTCTAGTTTCACTAAAAAAATGGAGTGACATCCATGAGATTAGAATGAATAAAAGTGATAATTTTTTTAAAACATAAAGGCAAAATGATCAATCAACCTACTTTATATAATATTTTATGATTAATTCACACAAAGCGCTCAATTTTTATTTTCTAACTGAAGTTATTTTGCAATTTTTTCAATATAAAATCTTAATTTTCATCTTTCATGTATAATTTAGATATGTTGCGAAGAATGTGGATCTGGATTCTCTCGTGTTCAAAAAAATATAACATGATCATGTGGAGAATCATAATTATTTAAAGGTGGATCAATGGTAATAAAAAAAGAGAGAAAAAGATTGAAATAGATAACTATAAAATCATAACCGTTAATTCACCTTTGTGATTTTTTCACATGACCATATCATTTTTTTTGCACAAGAGAGAATCCATTTCCGAAGAATGCTCACCAATTCCAACCAATTATAAGTTTTTCTTAAAAATTTAAAAGAAGTTACGAAGAATTTCGAAGTTTCACGCAAGTTTGTATCTATTTCTTCTATTAAATAAAGGAAAAAGTATTTGTTCTTTTAAACCACAAACTTGTGTCATTTCACTCTCACAGTGAGATCCACACCTTTTTTTTTTGTCCACTCTCTCCCTCCATGATCTATCTCTTTTTCTCACTTAAAATGACACAACTTTACGTCCTTTAAAATGATACACATTTTTTCCTTAAATAAATAGTAGGGTAGAAGAAAGTGGATCTGAATAATTGTATGCTTAGAATGTGATTATTACTAGAAAAATAATAAGGCAGAAGAACATAAAATTTAAAAAATTTATCTTTAATAGAGGTGTTAGAATTGTTCTGGAGAAAATATTATATATATATATATATAAGGGCATGTTATATTTACAAACTTTTTTGTTTACAAACTACACTATCTTCTCCCGGGAGAACACTAGGTTTCACTATGTTCTCCCGGGAGAAGATAGTGTAATTTGTAAAAATTTGTAAAAAAAGTTTGTAAACGGATCATTCCCCATATATATATATTGAATCAATTTTAAATATGAATTAAAAGTAAACTATTTTAATTATTGTTTTTTCATTTTTTCTAATTATTTTGTTTTTAATTTTTTATTTTTATTTTTTATTTTTTATTGGATTGATTCATTTTGAAACACCCTTAATATTTATAATGTGCACAAATATTGTGCTTTTAAGGCAATTGCCTTAATTACTTGCTAGCGAGTACTGCAAATACACCTTTAGAATTTCCGTAATCACCTATAACCAGCAATTTTCATAGATCTCTGTTAAAGAACTGTTTGATCATAGTTACGGAGGACAGGAATTTTGGGTTTCCCAAATTCTGCACCACTACTATTTATGATTCACAATAAGTGATGTGAATAAGGTGTATTTGAAATGGGAATAGATCCTCTCATGTGAAATAGTGGTCATGTGATCATGTTATTTGATCACAACCACTCATTTAAAAATTATACACTTTTCTCTCTCTTATCTCATCACCAATGAGTGATTTTGATCAAATAACATGACCACATGACCACTTTTTCACATGAGAGGATCCACTCCCATTTGAAATACATCTCTCAAATAAATAGACATATTACCAAAGGGACAAGGATTTCGTCACCTTTAATTTAAGGTTTCGAGATTTAAAATGAAAAAAACTGTGTTGGGAAAGTCCCAATATGAATCTAACATATCTCAATCCGAATTAAACAGGATAAGATACAAAATAGACATATTTCTCAAGAATTTGTGTCTATATGGAAAGACACATATTAGTAGGCACATGTCTTTATTGCATACATGCATATATTTGTTCATTTTAAATGTATAGACACAATCATTAAAAACCATATGTATAAACATGTCTATTTATTTAAAATTAATAAGTACTGTCCTAAACAATCATGTACTCATGTTTTTTCATTTGAATAGACATAGCGCTTACAAACCATTGTGTCTGTAGAAAAAGTTATATAAGCAAAATTAACAGACAACGATGTAATGTGTCACACTAACATGGTTCAAGCAGCTACTCCACAGTGGCGTATTGGACCAAAAAACAAGCCAGTTTTGTGCAACGCATGTGGATCAAGATACAGGCAACGGGGAACCCTTGACAACTATCTTCCAAAGTGTCGTGATCCAAAGCTCGATGTTAAGGACAAACCTTCAAGCTCTGATCCAAATTCAGGTAATGGTACTAGTAGTAATAACTTATCTTTTTCTTAAAAAAAAAAATTTACACTTATTGTTTCTTATATTTCTAAATTCTAACAGTTAGTAGCTTTTCTTAGGCAAGAAAAATCCAGTTATATGGAACCCTAAAATTCCTTCAAAGAAACGTTCACCGCAAATCTCACGAATAGAAAGGATTCAAAAACAATTTCTCGATTTGTGGAACAATCTCGGGCTACCAAATGAGCCATCCCCAGAAGATTTGTTATTGTTCCATAACGTGAACAACTTAATACCTAGCAATGAAATAGGCCCTGGATGCATTCGTCTTTGAAGCAGATGGTACTTCTACATATATAGAAGGGTTCATTGATGTACCCTTCATCAATATATTACAAACTGCCTTGTGATATGTATTGGACTTTTTGAATTCAAGCCTTCGTATGAGTCTTGTAGAACCTGCAAGTTATGTCTGTGCTGTTGGTGTTTGTTGTTTTATGATCGATATGTTTAGAATCAGTAATCATGTATATATGAGTCACATTTACTGATATGAAGTGGGTAATGTTTTCATTTGGAATAATAATTTTTTTTTTTTTTTTTTTTATCTAGTTTGAACCGAAGGCTGGAAGTAATTTGATTCATTCAGAAAATCTTGAGTGAGATCAAGTTATTACTTGATGATTTACGGAAATATTTTTTTATAAAAAAAGGATGTGAATTAATTTCATATGAGATTAATTTCTGGAACTTTGGGAGAGTAGGAATTAGAAAAAATGGAAGGCAAGCGAAGGAATTGATTTGGAATCATGCATGTTTTGAGAAATTGATTTGATTTATAAATAAATTTTTTGTTAGAAAAGTTATAAAATAGGAATTAATTTGACCGTTTATTTTAGCTGTCTACAAATAGAGAAATGTAATCATAATTGAATGGATTTGAGCGGAGGATTGATTTTAATTTTTAATTGTTGAAATTTATTGGTTTAGTCATTTAATATAAACTTAATAAAAAAGACTTATAACATATTAGTAATTCGGTCTTAAATTGATGTTAATATTCTTTTTTACACCCTAAGAAGAAAAAAAATAAAAAACAATTGCTTGATCATTAAATAATCATAACATAAACTAGCCGAATTAAATCCTCTAGTGTACGTCCAGCGATGCTAAACAATGGTTAGGCCATTAAGTCGATCAATGTTGTAAATCGGAAATTTTAACTAGCCCTAATTTATAAAGAGCTGGTACAAAGTTAAAATACAAAGAGAATGGAAGAAAGAGAAAGAGCAAGCTAACGATAACCTTATAACAGTATGCTTTTGAGAATTTCTGTATTAAGGGAGATTAACCTCATACCTGATACCTCATACCTTTCACCAACATGCATTCATTAAAGCTTAAACTAACAAACAGTCAATATTTTTGAGCTAACGATAACAGTACTCATAACATTATATGGTAATATTACTTTTAGTGAATATGATAAGTCATTTAAGGCCTCAAATTGAATTTTTCTTACTCCAATTTCCAAGCGGATTATTGAAGAAGTTAAGGAAGATGCTGCTGTCTATCGGGTATCGTTTATGGATGTGGAGTATTTGAGTTGATTTCAAGGGTGTATCTGGTTGGAGAGGATAGTCCATATTTTCAAGGTTGTCTCATTACCTTGTGTTTGCTAATTGGTATGGGATAGGATTGTGTTTGTGGCCTCTCTTTGGTATTATACTCACTATCATCTCAAGGGAATTTATTACTGAAGTGCAACAAGATTGGATAGCTTTCTTGCTTCTTTTTTAGATAAAAGGAGTTTTGTTGCATTTTTTAGCAACGGTGGCTTGCTATTTTCTTATTAGGAGGATTTCTTATCTCTCCTTTCTTTCAACTAATACTCTTATATCCATTAAAAACTTTCAAATCTTATGCTGCTCAAGATCCAATAACACTTAGTGTTGTAAGAGTTTTACCAGTTCCATCTTTGAGTAGCTTCATTTGTTTTGACCATAAGGAATAAATCTTTGGTGCTACTGTTGCACCAAAGATTCAATACATCCTATCAATGAAAACATTACATGTCAGTTAAATTTTTTTTTTTTTCTGTTAAATTTTCTCTCTCTCTCCTCTGATATGTAATGCTCCCATTGGTGGGATGTACTGAATCTAGGTACAACAAATGCACCAAAGATTTATTCGACCATAAGAATGGAACCTGGCTATCATCTTCTCACTTATCTATATTTTGTAAGTTGCAGAAAGATATTGAGATGACTGAGTGTTTGTTCCTAATGAATTCTTGGAATCTGCTTGTTCTTTTGGAGCATTGGATAGGTTCCCGTCAGTTTCTCAATTTTACAAAATCAAGTAGTGATCTGTTAAGGTATTAAGAGGGTATGATGCGTAGGTAATATATGTTCTCACGTGGGGAATCGTACTTCAATATAATAGTGGTTCAATATGGAATCAAGGTATTAATAAACTAGAACTTCAATGAGATCTGAGTGTGTTTAAACCTAGTAAATAAGTGAATTCTGAGGGGAATGTGTGTGTTTGTGGTTATGGAAAGGTAGAATGATAGCAAGGTTGTATGGAGATTGGAGATCCTTTGATCTCTTGTTGAAGATCGAGGTGACTTATATAGGGAACTAAAGGATAAGAAAAAATGGTTCCTTCTTCTCAGAAATCCTTATGAGTAACGATTCTACTTGAGTCGTTAGGAGTCCATGATTCTCTATCAAATGCCATGTGCTCACGAGGACATGTAATCCGTAGGGAATGGATCAACGTATTGGGCCTGAAATGGGCATTAAGGAGCAGCCCTACTAGATGATCAAAGAAAGTCGTGATGACCCGGTCTAAGATGGGTCCTAATTACGGGTCTAGAACAAATAGGTTTATGTGGCTATTGTCTTGTGAACTAATAAAAGCTATAAGCTACTTGGATTGGTCTAGTATCAATAAGGGGTTTGAGTAATTTGTATGAGACCATAGGTTTGAATTTCAGTGTCACTTTTGTATGAAAAAATAAAATAAAAAAGCTATCGGAGGATGAAAAAGCTAAAACAACCGCATCATGAACGAAGTTTTAGAAATAGAATGACGAAAATGTGTAGTTTTTGTCCATATTTTCCTGAAGAGATATTGACACCTTCATGAAAACAGGTTAATCTATCAAAGTTTCTCCTTTAATCGTCTTCTTTTGCATGCATATTGCCATATATATAAAGCTGGTTTTTATCTGTCCACATTTGATGTTTATTTGAGAATTTGTACGACCCCTGATCCCTCGCCAATAAGATACCCATTAGGAATTTTGCTTCCTTTTCTTGTAAATTCCTCTCAATCTTCCACCTGGCTTATTGGTTGGTTTTTGTAAGGTTTTGGCTTAGGTTAGCACTCAAACTATAATTCCTTTCTATAAACTCGTTTTTTTTTTGGTAAGCCTTTTCTATAAACTCGTTGCACTTACATTACTTAGCGTCTTTATAATAATATTTGTAGTTAATTATTGTAATAGAACTTACGACTATTTTTATAGTGATAGGTAGTTTACATATTCAATTTACAGATTTTTTTTTTTAAGGTTATATTTACAAATTTTTTGTTTACAAACTACATTATGTCTTTCCGGTAAGATATTCTTGAGTGAAGTCTTATAGATAAGACATAGTATAGTTTGTAAAAAAAAAAAAAAAGTTTGTCAATATAACATTTCTCTAATTTTTTTTTTTTTTGAGGAAACTATTTTTAAAATTTATTTTCATATTTTTCATGCTGTGCAATGCTTTTGGCCTGTGGTTTTGTTTTATCGATTAACCTTCCATGATTATGCACCCTTGTGATGTTATGTTATCATCCTCTTTTTTATATAAATATAAATCACTAAGTGAATACCAGAAATTCATTCTCCAGTAAAACTTTAAATTCATTTCAAGGAGACTTTGTCACACTTGGAGAAGTTCTTATGTATTTTGAAAGTACTGCTATTGGTGCAATAAAATCATAACGTTTGGATTGCATAACCATACGTGTTAAGTAATAATTATAGAGTACTTTGAAATTTTTCCTGTGATGTTAAATTTTTGTATCTATTTCATTCTTCATAAATATTAATACTTTTTTTTATAGAATCTCACCAAAATAATTTTTAGAGAAATAAACATAAAATCTTTGGACAAAACGATTTACTCCCTTTATATTTGATGACTTGAACGAGCTTAAAATAATGTGATATTACACCTAACATTCCGCGAAAAAGAGCCACACTACCATCTAACAAATTAGATAATTGGAAAAAAAATTCAAAAAAAGTCGCATAAACAAACCTAACATTTGATTTAGAAATCTTTGAAGAGATAATTTTAATATACTATATAGAGGAAGGCTATATTTATAATCTCTTTTTACTTACAATCAAATCTTAACTGTTGATTTTCGTTAATTTGACGGTTATAAATTATTGAAAATCAGTAATTAATTAATAAGTGTGACTCAATAAATTATAACCGTCAAATTAACAGAAATCAACTGCTAAGATTTGATTGTAAGAAGTTGTAAACGAAAAAAATTATAAATATAATATTCTCTCTATTTACGTGGCCATCATTGATAGAGTCTGAGATAAGTTATCTGGTTGGCAAGAGCAGTGCCTCTCTCAAGCTGGTCGAATTACTCTTGCACAATCTGTTATTTCGTCTATTCCATTCTTCCACATGCACCATGGTCAGATCCCTCTTACGATGTGTGCCGAAATTGAGCAGATTCAACGTAAGTTTATTTGGGGTAACAAAGAAGGGCAGCGGAGATGGCACACAATTGGATGGGATACATTGACTTTTCCAAAGGAAGTTGGTGGTCTGGGTATCAAAAGAGTGGTAGAGATGAATTTTGCTTTCCTAGCAGAAGCAACACGGAGACTACATCATGAAAAAGAGAGCCTTTGGGCTCAAGTGCTAATGGGTAAGTACGGAGGCTTGATTAGCGATATTGACCTTTTTCCTATAAAAACGGGTTATTCTCGATTTTGGGCAGCTTTATGTAAGGTGTGGCGCAAGTTGGAGGACAATTTAGTGTGGAAAATAGGAGATGGGAGATCTATATCTTTTTGGTTAGACTGTTGGATAGGCAATTTATCGCCTCTTATTCAGCTTTCTATATGTTCGATTCCTGTAGATACTCTTGATGATAGACTTGATAGGTTTGTGGATGGTAATGGAAATTGGCAATTAAACCTGTTGAGAGATGTTCTCCCTAAAGAGGTTATCCAACGCCTCCAAAGTATTCTTCCTCCAAGGGCGGGAGATGGGCTGGATAGGAAATTCTAACTTTTAGAGGGTG